TTAAGTCTCATATGGTTGCGAAGTTCTGGCCAGGCACATCCACGTGCAGCAAGCCAGCTCCACATGTGGCCATAGAACGCAGCTGAATAGTCGCCTCACATGGCCGACGACGCAGTCTACAGTAGTAAACAGAGCGTTCGATTTTTCATTCTCACATGTTTAACGCCATACGCCTTTCTAAAAATGCGGGAAAAGCGATTAAGAGCGAATTCATTCACCATCACAAGACCATTTTTTAGGTTAACAAATTCAAATATATTTTTATATATATATATATATATATATATATATATATATATATAAGAGGATTATCGACAGACACATGATCACACACATACATACATATTGCTATATATATATGTATATATATATATATCGAGAGAGAGAGAGAGAGAGAGGCAGAGAGATAGGAACAGACGGAGGACTGATAGATAGATAGATAGATAGATAGATAGATAGATAGATAGATAGATAGATATGAAAAAAAAACAGACATATATGAAAAAACTGAAATAGATAGATAGGCACATAAATATGAACAGAATAGATAGATATGAACAAAGATAAATATACGTATATGAAAAAAAACTTAGATAGATAATGAAGACTTTGAGAAAGATATATGAAGAACTTGAGATAGATAGATAGATAATGAAAACTTTGTGTTAGATAATGAATTCAGGTAAATACATTGATAATGAATACTTTGAGCTAGATAGATAATGATGACTTTGATAGATAGATAGATAGATAGATAGATAGATAGATAGATAGATAGATGAAGAAGCTGGGATAGATAGATAGATAGATAGATAGATAGATAGATAGATAGATAGATAGATAGATAGATAAGAACCAGTTTTGATTGATAGCTAGGTAGGTGTCGGGGCAGGAATATAGACATAAACCTCATATAAATAAGTAGAGCTAAAACGTTAACTGGGAAAAAAAACCTACACATCAAAGCAAAAAACACTACGGATTTTGCTGTGTACACGATTCCTTTAAAAAACATCAAGCAACTCTGAAACGGATTTATCACATGCTCAGTGGGTGTATCTACGAACACACGCAAACGTACTGACCACCAGCAGGAGGTCTGTTTATTGACATCGATCGGAATTAATTTTATATTCCCAGCAGATCTGAAGTCTGTTTAGACACTTATTCTGCGCCAGGAATACGATTTCAAAAGTACAGGTTGTAGTAGCGCTTTGATAGGAATTCCGACAAATGTTGGTGTTTGAATCTCCCAGGTAAAGAATTGTGAGGAAACCACAAAATTAGGTATTGCTGATCATGTATGAAGGCAAATGATACAAACGCTAACCTCAATGTTGAAATAATTAGATAAAAGAATAAGACGATTGGCAAAAGTTTTATAATGTTAGGTATACTATGGGGAAGCAATGATTAGTAAGCATTTAAAATTTCATTTGTTCTAAGTAATTTTCAGTGAAGAATAATATAAAAATGAGAAAAAAAAAAGTTTTTGTTAAATATTTGTCTGCGAAATTGCTTTTTGAAACCATGCAAAGATTAATCTTTTTAATCTTATATATCAAAAGACAGAATCTGTCTATATTTCTGAGATGAGGTATTATGTACATTATTGACATTATTCGGACTATTGTCCTCATCTTTGTCGCCATATTTATCACAACGTTTCGGCCGTTGTACGCTCCGGCCGTCTTCAGGTGATTGGAATGTCGAACTGAATTTTTTATTTCTAGTTCCAACTAGAACAGTCTACCCCAGTGAGCGAAATAAAGGGTTCAATTTGACATTCCAAACACCTGAAGAAAGTCGGAGCGTACAACGGCTGAAACGTTGTAATAAATATGGCGACAAAGATGAGGACAATAGTCCGAATAATGTAAATAATGTACATAATACCTCATCTCAGAAATATAGAAAGATGTTCAGTTCGACAGACCAACCACCTGAAGAAGGCCGGAGCGTACAACGGCCGAAATGTTGTAATAAATATGGCGACAAAGATGAGGACAATAGTCCGAATAATGTAAGTAATGTACAAAAGGCAGAATATTTACCCTGTACATATTAGGTACCTTCAAAGGGTCGCTAAAAATGAGCATACACATTGAAAAAACAGACCCCAAACTTAATAGAAACGAAGTTTTACAATCAAAATCTTTGTTATAATTACGAGGAAAGCCGAAAGGATTTTTTGATTATTAAATTATATTTCTTAATCGTTTTAGGTCCTTTGAAGTTTTCATTAAAAATTTGTTTTTTCTTGCTTTAAGGCGTGACAATAAATTAATATTAGAAAGCCGAGCTTCTTTTTGCGATGTAAAACACATTGATGTGAAAATTCTTTCAAAAATCAAATAACTGTCAGATGTTAATGAAATTTTTCGGACTTATTGTCAAATAAATGAAATTATTTTAGAAATGTTTCTTTTTTTTTTAGAAAATCTTGGTAAAATATTTTCATATCTGTTACCCACACTTAATTTTATGAAATTTGGAGAAATTCATTTTTGGATGGCTTAATGTTTATATTACTTACAATCACAGGTTAATGGAAAATTTAAATCATCAAATTCTTTTTGTCAAACAGGAACCCCAGTTACTGAAAGTTTTTTTCCGATTCGTGAAAGAAAAATGCAATAAAACTAAGATATTATTTAATTACAAAAGCTTTTAACTACTTTTATGAATATGACATATAGACACTATTGCCTTAAAATATTTTTTCGATGAATAATGAAATTTTATAAGAATTGTTTTTACTATTTCAAAACATTAATTATAATAATTTATAAAGTTTTAAACCTTTTAAAATTCTGAGTTAATTGATGACGGTTATGTGATATAGTTATTAAGTAAAAATATATATTTACTCATAATAAATGTAAAAGCTTGCTACAATTCAGCAACTACCAGTATTTAAAAAAAACAACAATTTTTAATATTTTGTGTGTATAAACGTGTCGATTTTTGTAAATACGGTCGTCCATACACGATATTATCATAAAATAAGGGCGGTCAATTTCAAATTTATTGGTTATTTTCTAAATTTTCCTCAACGAGCGTTTTTGTAAGTAATACTATTAATGCCAAATTACCTTAAGTTCAATAAAATATTAGAATGATTAAAACATCTTGTATTTTAAAAATTACTGGCTAATCAAAATCTCGCAATCTTTAGGTTATTGATAATAGTGTCAACACCTTATAAAACAACTTCCTCCGTGTTAAAAATAGTTTTCTGCTATATTTTAAAGTGAAAGTAATATTTGTTTAAATACAGATTAATTAAACTTTAAATCAGTTAACCTTCTTCAAATAAATTTTCAGAAAACTACATTTTACTTTTGAAAGATTTTTTTGAATAAAGAGAAGCATGTTGTGTGGACAGATTTGTCAATATGGCCGATTTTAACGATTTTATCAATCTAAAACAAAACATTCCAATAAATTTAAATTCGGTTTGAAATACAGCAAAATAATTTGCATATTGGATATGCATATTTAATTTAATATATTAGCTTGGAACTAAAACTGAAATAAAAGCTTCAAGAAATTATTTTTTCATTTTTAAAATGCATTTTAAACAACAGGTATCGCTTTTTGCGATATATATATATATATATATATATATATATATGTGTGTGTGTGTGTGTGTGTGTGTGTCAGGTATGTGCCATGCGACGAGGTAGATTCTTTTTACGGTAGACCAGATAACATCCCAGACTATAGAACACGGTCTGTCCTGCTATTTACACATAGCTGGGGGGGGGGATTTATACCTTTCCCAAGGTTGTTAGCATATAAGTGAATGTAATAGATTTAACTGGAATTCGAACTCGCCTCTCCGATTCCTCAATCCTGAGCCGTTGTCCATTCCTCCACCGTGCCTCCTTTTTTTCACACACACACACACACACACACACACACACACACACACACACACACACACACACACACATATATATATATATATATATATATATATATATATATATATATATATATATATATATATATATATATATATATATTGGGCAGTAACCCTTCTTTTATACATGTTTCATTGAATTTGACAGAAATGAAAAATTTTATAACTTTTTCAATTATCCTTACAATTTTTCTGGGACTAAGAATGTCTGCCGACTGTCCAAAGTGATTTTTGACCCAAGCGATTTCAGGACATTCTTTTGCCAATTCCAAGTGATCGTTCTTAGTATATTTTGTGTTTGCATTCTAAACTGTTCTAAATGTTGATAAACCAGAATTTTAAAAACTTAATGACAAAGTGAAAACCATTTTTGTGTAACGCGCTTCGTCTTAAAGGATTTTTTTTTAACGGACTAAAATGGTGTAACTGCACATGCTGACAAAGGAGAGGGGACGCTGGAATTTTAATAAATAGGGAATAGAAGTAGTAGAAATTCCATCTTGGGAAGCCTTCAAAACTCTCGTACATTTCTACACACTCTCAATTCTCATGAAAGAATAAACGTAAGCACACGAGTAAAGCTAAATAAAAACATATCGAATTTTCCTTCTTCGACACAATCAACAACCCTCTGAAACCCCCGACACACACATATATATATATATATATATGTATATAATATAAAAATATTTATTAATTTATTTAGTTTAGGTTTCTATTAATTCTGCAACCTCTTTTATTCTGAACTATTTATACTGCTGCCTTAACCACAGAGCCAAATCTGTGCCCGTCCACACACAGAGAAGCGAGCACGTGGGATAATGTATAAGCAGTATTAAAAAGCTGTGTCGTGTCGACTCCAGACAGTAGTATTAGCAGCTGTAGTAACTTCAATAAAGATATTGTAGACGCTTAGCTCAGCACATGGTCAAATAGTTGAAAACTAGCAGACATAAAGATTATGTTGCGGCAATCTTTCAAGATGGGAAGGCTTGCTTCCCTAAATGCTATTAAATTAAAACTATAGGCCAAAAGCTTCGACTACTATCGGCCATGAAAAATATGCAAATATTTAACGCATTAATGTCGGATTTCGATATATTTACTGGGTTGAATGAATGGGGACGTAGCCTAATATTATGAACTGAATCAATCTCTATGTAATGTTCATTGTATAATGTCTGATTTATTGGATTAATATGCGCTACTCCATTGAAATGAAAGAGATTATGTTGAAAATAGATATTTGTTATCTAAAATAAATAAAATAAATGCGTTTTATCATTAGGCTATTCTTTTACGAATAAAAATAATATGCATAACAAAAACAACAATAATTACAAGAATAAAACATTAATAATAATAATAAATAATAATAACAATAAAAACAATAATAATACTAACAAAAATCGATAATAAAAGTAACAAAATAGTAACACAAATAATAATAAAAATAATTACAATAAAAACAAAACCAATAATAATAAAATGAATAATAATGCCTACAAAATCAAAAATAACAAATATAATAACAATAAAAACAACAACAACAATAATAATAATAATAACAAAAACAATAATAACAAAAACATTAATAATTGCAAAAGAATACTACTACTACTACTACTACTACTACTAATAATAATAATAATAATGATAATGATAATAATAATGATAAGAACAACAAGAAGAACAATACTATAACTACTACAACTACTACTAATCCTAATACTGCTAATAATAATAATAATAATAATCTTGAACCATTCATAACACTCATAGCTTCTGATATAAATTGACTGATGGGGCTGACATGAATGTATTTTGTCCTGATCAGGACCACAGATTTGTTTATAAGTTTCATGATATTAATCAGTTGATTATGTCTTCGATGGTGACGACATACTATGCCGCTCTCTTCATGAGATGAGCAGGGTCTATTGGAGGAGCATTATGGCCAGGGATAGAAGGGTTGTTGTGAAAAGTGAGTCAATTCGAGCACTTATTAGTACCCTTTTCGTACATATATATATATATATATATATATATATATATATATATATATATATATATATATATATATAATAATATTGATATAAATATAAATAGTTATACCCGTTTGGAAAAACTTTAGGTATTTTGGTTTGTAATTGAACAAATCAATGCCCAAGGAAAAATAAGGAATAAAAAAGAAAGAACTAAGATCATGAAATTGAGGTGGAAACAATCGTCCAGAATTCAAGTTCAGAGTCCCCCCCAAAAAAAAAATCCCTCCAAAACGAGTAAAGCAGAAAGTAACTAAGTAAAGTGCTCAATACACTAAGTAGAGCAAATCTAACTATGAACCTAAAGAGTCAGGTAAACCTACCTAGGTTTCACCTACGCGGATCGTCAGGGTGCACTGGCCAGTGCACCTTGTCGACCCGCGTAGGTGAAACCTAGGTGGGTTTACCTGGCTCTTTAGGTTCATAACTTATATATATATATATATATATATATATATATATATATATATATATATATATATATATATATATATTGTACTAATGAACGAATAGCCTTTCGCAACTGTGGTTGTTGTGTGTGGACACATTGGTGAAAAGCCATATTGTGCGTTGTGTTGTCCCAACACCACGTGCCACGGTGCAATCCGTAGAAGCTGCTTTTGACGGACACTTTGAAATGATTGTGCAATTGACTTTATGTCATTTACTGTTTATCAACCTTTTGCATGTTATTTAAGGCGAATGATTGTAAGGATAATTCTTGCTTTCTTTTTCGGCCAGTGAATATTGTATTAAGAATTACTATAGATAATAATGTTTTTCAAATACATGTCCTACTATTTAACTCATAGCTGGGGGAGTACGGATGGATTCGCACTTTTGCAGAAGCGTATGTACTTGCGTGTAAGTGAATGTAACAAACCCGACCGGAATTGGAACTCGGCTTTCCGATTCCTCATTCCGTTATCCATTACACCACCTGCGCATCCAAGATTACAGCGCCTGATATTCCCGAATGGTCACTGATATAGGTACTTGACATTGTTGAAACCGGAGATTCAACATGATATGTCAGCAAGCTCAATTAGAAATGAACAGATCCTTTTATTTAGCTTCGGTAACGAAGGGGTTGATACTTTAGACCAGGCAATCGTGTGGATAGGTGGTTACAGTAAAGATTATTGGCGCGGTAAATTGAATCAGTCACCCAAATTCGGTCTAGTTGTGTTCTGTTCAGATTAATGTGTTCGAGGAAGACAGATTTCCATCTATGAGTAAGAAAACAGGACTCTTTCTCCCAAGAACTTATGGCAAATCTACGGATAATAATGAAAAGAAGTATATGGAGAACTAGTATTGCCTCGCCCTGAAAATTCGAATGCTGATTTTCAAAGCAGGAATGCTCATCAATCTTGGAAGATTGGTGCAACAGAATTCTCCATTATCTATTTCTTCTTAGTGGACCTAAAACTCGTAAATATCAAGAAGAAAACGTTGAAAATGACGCGGATCTGTCATCTCGTCACAGCGACGGTGATCTTCCATCTTGCCACAACGACGGGGATCTCGTCAGAGCTATAGAAATCAACTTCGCTACAGCGTAGTAATTATTCAGCTCGTCTCATAACGAATCACAAATGTGATAATATGACAGAGCAGATATGTATGCTCCAAGAATCGGCAGAGAGCGTGTGTTCAGAAGAACTATTCAGGCTTGGTTTTGATTTGAAGTCCTACGTGGCCGAGCGGCTAGGCACATTAGATGCAATGATTGTTCTCCATAGGAGATGCAGGTTCGAACTCTGCAGTAGGACGCATTTTATTTCTTTGACAAAATTTCTCGATAATTCAGGTCGGTAGATGTAGTTGGATAAAAAATACTGTTTAATTAAAAACAGGGCTTCAACAAAAATGACGTTTAAATAAAATAAATTAAATATAAAATTATGTCGGATTTAATATCATGCAACTGATAAACAAATCTGTGGCCCTGATCGGGACAAAATACATATATATATATATATATATATATATATATGTTACTGCGTTTAAATATACATAGTTGATTATTAGCAACTTGTCTTGCTTCATCAATTACGACTGAGTGAGCTCGATCCTCGCTGGGAGCTGATACTTACGCAACATACAAGCAACACTTAGGAAATTGATATATATATATATGATATTATTTTATTTCAAAATAAATATCTAGTTCTACTCTGTATTCAGGCCTATATATATATATATATATATATATATATGGCGGACTCTCTCATCGTATGACACTCTACGAAGAACCGATTAAAGAGACCTGGTGCACTGTGTGCCACAAAGGTCCTCAACTGAGCCCCTGCAAGTTTTGAATTCAGAGTTGTTCTTCTAGACCAGTTGCTATCCAAGGTTATAGAACCCGATCTGTTCTGATATTTACCCATAACTGAGGGAGAAGAAGAGGATTAGTACCTTTCCCAAGGTCATTAGCGCATAAGTGAATATAACGAGTTCCATTTGTATTTGAACTCGGTTCTCCGATTACTCAATCCTATCTGCCGTCTCTCTCTCTATATATATATCTAAATAGGTCTTAATCTGGTCACTCCTCCTCCCCCAATACAAAGTATGCTTGAGAGAGATATGAAATTAATCCTTCCCTATACTCTACTATGTCTCTCTAACCACTCCTTATTACACTCTCTGTTTAATTACAAAAACGTACACTACCCATCAATTTTAATTTCATTTTTCGTTTCATTTTTGGAAATGCTATCTGATGATCCGGCGTCCTTTAAAAGGGCTCTGCTGAAATAAATTATTATAATGATATATAGTTTGTTAGTGATATATATATATATATATATATATATTAGTAAGTGAGATATGAACGTTTTTCCATTGATGTCAGAGATATATATGTCCTCCCAATAAAAAATATTGCCACAACATAATCTTCGTGTTTTATGTTTATCCTACATCAGTTTGCCCTAGCTGTTTTTTTTTTTAGAAATATATACGTAGACACGTGACTGTACATACTTATATACATAATTCTGCGTATACACTCGCACACACACTATCACACAGACACACCTACTCACACGCGGGGACATTTATGTACGTGTATATATGTTAACTATCGTAAAATTTCTTTTATGTGCTCCTTGTCATGAATTTGGTCAACCTTTTAAGTGAACAAGAAAAGAATATTTGGCAAAGCCTTATGGGTATTACTAAATTTAGATTCACTAAATACGGTTAAATAGATTGAAGCCTGTGTACCATAGATAGAAAGGTTACACCCGCCATCGATTTGATGTCTCTTTCTTTTCTTGCAGTATTTATTGCTTTTTCTCTCTTATTTCAGGCTTTAAAGACTTGGGTTAATTGTTAATGTAGATAGATTTATATATATATATATATATATATATATATATATATATATAGATAGATAGATAGATAGATAGATAGATTGTAGATATTCAGTCAAAGATATGCAAGCACATACAATAAGAAATGAGGAGAGACAGACAGATAGATAGATAGATAGATAGATAAATAAAATACTGAAATAGATAGGTATTTAGATAAAATACTGAAATAGGTATTTAGATAAATACTGAAATAGATAGATAAAATACTGATATACAGACAGACAGATAGATAAAATACTGAAAATAGATAAAATACTGAGATAGATAGATAGATAGATAGATAGATAGATAGATAAAATACTGATATACATAGATAGACAGACAGATAGATAAAATACTGAAAATAGATAAAATACTGAGATAGATAGATAGATAAAATACTGAAATAAATAGGTATTTAGATAAAATACTGAAATAGAAAGATAGATAAAATGCTGATATACATAGCTAGACAGATAAAATACCGAGATAGATAGATAGATAAAATACTGAGATAGATAAATAGATAAAATACTGAGATAGATAGATAAATTGATAGATAATATACTGACATAAGTTAAAATACTGAGATTGATAGATAGACAAAATACTGAGATAGATGAATAAAATACTGAGATAGATAGATAGATAGATAGATAGATAGATAGATAGATAAAATACTGAGTAAATACTGAGATATTTAGATAAATAGAATTGTGAGATAGATAGATAGTAGATAAATACAATACAGTAATGGATTGATAATTTACTGATAAATATAACAGTGAATTACGAGAAATCATAGATAAATAACATACAGAAATAGACAGACAGATATATTGAAATAGATAACAAACTAAATAGAGAGAGATATATAGTAACATACTGAAATAGCTAGATCCCATACTAGACGAAATAAATACGTAACATACTAAAATAGGTGCATAGATTGGTATGAAAGGAATGAGATATTTGCACGTGTTAGGAAGAATAGACCCCCCCAACACGCGCGCGCACACACACACACATATGAATAGATATTGATACATAAATGCACAGAATTATATATGTATGCATGTATTCTTCGAAAATGTAACGTGTGTGTATGTATCTATGTGTGTACGTTTTCTTAAACAGTGAACAGTATTTTTTAAATCGTTTTACTACAATCAAGGCGCTAAAGCCACTAAGATGTTACAGGGAGTGAAATTGAAAGAGAACAGTGAAAATGGGGAGGATTGAGCAAAGAACAAAACAAAGGAAAGGGTTAAAAAAAAGACAGTCATTTATATAGATACTGAGTATTTTATTGTAATCTTATCAATCTGATTATATACATCCTGAGTATTATCCTTTTTCCTACTCATGATATATGCTAAGGCTTGAATGCTGATTTTCTAGGCAGCCACATTTTTTTTCTGTTTGAAATATCTTCATATATATATCTCACGTTATCTATACACACTGTTTATATCTTTTAGGTATATCTCCAACAGTGAGCATACATTTAATAAATGCGTAGCAATATTCTATATATTATGAACTTTCGAGAATCTATGACGAGAAGGATTGTGCTTAAAAGGCAGGATTACGTTTGGCTTGATCAGAAACGCTCTTTTCCAAATGAAGGGCGTATGTAACGACGGTTTCTCCTGCAAAGACGGGAAAAGTTTCCAATCTTGACGGAGGGAGCATCTTATTTTTAATAAGATTTTTTAAATATTCAAGCCAGCAGACGAAAAAAATAAATACTTTATTCTATTTACATTGTTGGTATTGTTGTCTTCATCTTTGTTATATTCAAGACCTTTCAGCCGTTGTACGCTCCGGCCTTCTTCGGGTGATTGGAATTTCGAACAGAACGAGTTATTTGGACCACCGGGGTACATTGTTCTAGTTTCACGTGTAATGCCTCTTCCGGGTATTTCAGTTTCAGTTATTTCCCTTTAACCCAGTTCTCAAAGATTTTGGTCACTCCATCCTGATGCCAGAAAAGGCAGAACGTCGTAAATATGGCAATAAAGATGTGGACAGCAGCCCGAACAATGTAAATACTAAAATAGTTACAATACCTCATCTCAGAAATATACATAAAAATATACTGTTGAAATTAAACGGAGTTTCTCCTCAAATTTGCATATCCAGTAAAAATAGCGTTTAAACTGATCTATCTATCTATCTATCTATCTATCTATCTTTTAATATTTTCATATAGACAAAAGAAATTTACTCACGACAAAGATGCAACTTCGTTTCAGTGCATTTAGTTGCACCTCGACAGGCGAAAACCAAAATGGTTATAAACAATTTTGTTTTGTAAGCAGGCCGCCCGTGGAACATCATTTCTTTTTTCTATTTGTTTGAAAAAAAAAGTACTTTTTTTTAAAAGGGGACGTGTAAGAATAAAGAAAACAATAGGAGAATCAAAAGGGTGACAGAGTGAAACAATAGTGTTTGTTGATATCAGTTGGGTGAATGCTTGTTGTGCTGTTAAAGTGATGGCTCGAACTGAACATTTTTTTTTTGAACGTTAGAATTTATATATTGTTTTCCTTCTCATTACATTCGGATATCTCTCTCACCCTCTCTCTCCCTCTCTCCCTATATATATATATATATGAAATGATTACTTAATGTTTAAATATCAAATTTATCCCCACATCGATGTTTCTTGTTAAAATTTCCAGTCTTCAGGGGTTGTAGTCTTAATTTCTTTTCATATATATATATATATATATATATATATATATATATATATATATATGTGTGTGTGTGTGTCTGTGTGTGTGTGTGCGTGTGTGTGTGCGTGTGTTTGTGTGTGTGTGTGAGCGATGTTTTTATCGATATATCATGGGAGGTTTATTTACTGAATGTTATCAACTCCTGTGCACTTTGGAAGAATGTCTATTCGTTTTGCGTAAATATAACAGAAGAGCCGATACTTGGAGATAATGTCCTGAATTTTGAAGACCGAAATAAATGCCCACTTTGTCAGGTTGAAGATTACACATTTAAAATTGATCTGGATTGACTGATAAAGACTGATAATATCTTCATAGCTTGTAAAAGATAAGAAGATAAAAAGATGACGAGAGAAGGTTGAACAGTGGCCAGTCTGATCTATCTCCCCCAAATTGGTCGAAATCATCAACAAGGAATCCGCTACAAGTTTTCATGTTTGCTTATATTTAGGAATGTTGAATGTACTGATACTTTTTCAGTATGCCTTTAGTCAATATATATATATATATATATATATATATATATATATATATATATATATATATATATATATTGTCCCTCGCCAATAACGACTCGGAGTTTCATGTATCAAACTCAGTCGTGCTATAGGCGAGGGATAATATGTATACTTGTCAATATATATTTAATAGATTTGTGGCATTACATCGAACACTATTTATTAACACTAGCACTATAAGTGCAATCTATCTATCTATCTATCTATCTATCTATCTATCTATCTCTCTCTCTCTCTCTCTCTCTCTCTATATATATATATATATATATATATGTAAAAAGTTTAGATCATAAAGATAAAAGAAAAGTATCAATAAGGAAAATTATCTGGGAGTACGAAATACGGCTGCTAAGTTTTCCTTTATTCGTATACACACACACACACACTCACTCACGCACGCACACACACACACACATATATATATATATATAAATAATTGGACACTGATGTCAATATTCATGCTCCGTCCCATAAACAGATGGCCTGAAGATTGCGTTTAAATAAGAAAGAGACTGTCACCGCTGTGTGTTGATCTAAGTGTCTACTTTTATATTTACGTGTGCTCTATCCCAAATATTAAACAATTTAACACAGAAATATAGCATATCATAAAACTATATTTTATCGTATGTATATATATATATATATATATATATATATATATATATATATATATAGCCACCACATACAAGCATGTTTCATGAGTGTGGGTAGACATCCGATTGCTTGAGAGACATATATATATATATATATATATATATATATATATATATATATATATATATATATATATATATATATAGTTATAGTTATAGTTCTATATAGATTAATATTATATATTGAAATTTTCAGATCAAATCTCAGGTTAATATAGATAAATTTCAGTTTTATTGATCCAACATCGTAGTATATATATATATATATATATATATATATATATATATATATATATATATAAACGAATAATCTCTTTGTGTATATATATATATATATATATATAAACGAATAATCTCTTTGTATATAGTTGTAATGTGTGCGATATTTATGGAACAAAGTGCTCAATATCAGAGATAGAACGTATATAAATATAAAAATGAACATCAATGTTCACTTATATATATATATATATATATATATATATATATATATGTGAAAAGTGTATATAAATATAAATAAATATATATATGTATAATTATTTATATATTATATGCGCGGTACTTATTAGAAAGCGTTCAATATCAGAGATAGAGCTAACATGTTTGGTTGGATAGACGTGAGTTTGTGACCCTGGGTTTCACGCTTTAGCGATCGTCAGAGTTTATCTGACGATCGCTAAAGCGTGAAATTTCAGGGTCACAAACTCACATCTATCCAACCAAATATATATATATATATATATATATATATATATATATATATATATGTAACGTTTGTGTATGTGCGTTTGTGTATGTGCGTTTGTGTATGTGTCTTTATATAAAGGCAAACGTCTGTAATAAAACTGTAGGCCATTCCAAATTTAGTCTATCATTAGGTGTTTCACATTTGTAGCATTTATCCGGTGTAATTTTCTAATTATGAATAGAATGTTGGTTAAATTGAAATATAATCAAGTATACTCATTCGAACAAATATTTTTGCACATACAATTAGTTACATTCCAGCACAGGCTCACGTAAACGAAACACATGACACTTATATATATATATATATATATATATATATATATATATATATATATATATATATATATATATATATATATGTATATACGTCCGTACACGGAGATTGAGAGTGTCTGTTTATGCATAGACAAATAGCACTAAACTTAATTTGTAAATGTGGTGGCCGGCCGAGAGGCAGGTAGATATTTAACACTGGAAGAAAGCAACCATCTTTTCAGCGTTTTTTGTTGATATAACCCGCTGTTTGGGCGTCTTTTTATGTTTCCAAAGATGTTTCCTCGTGTTTATTTGCTTGTGTGTATGAGAGTGAAACACATGTCGGCATTGCTCTAACGAGACCTTGGTGGAGCGAATAAACAGCTCGGGAGTACTGGTAGCCAAGGGGAAATTTTGAAAGCTTAGAAGGTCTGAGGATAAAAAAAAAGAAGCAAGTAATAATAAATGAAAACTGAACGTTTTGGCAAAGAGTAGTCAGCAAATAGAGAAAGTGAAAGATGATAAGGATGACGTTTTATTCATGCCGAAAATCTAGATAGGCGTGTTCAGCGAGTGCGCGCGCGGGAAAATCGATGGATAGACGAAAGGTAGATTGATTGGTAAACAATTTCGGAAGATTGGTAGATGAGTAATCGATAGATAATACCTGGTTGAATCTGTGCCTCACAGCGTATATTTCACGCGTCTTTCCCTCCTTGCTAATATCAGCTAGTGACTGCAATCGTGCATGACACGCAGC